CAGTAGGTTATTTCCTAGATCTTTGTGATAAAAAAGTTCATATAAACATGTGTCGATTTTGGACGGTTACGGACTTATGACCGTTTTTTTCATTCGCGTACACGCCCTCGTGTGAACCGCGTCTGTCATCTGGCTGGTCGCTATTTTTAGACAGCTACAGACAGACCGTTCTCGTTATCTCGACACTTGAGAGGTACCTAAGGCGTGGTGGGTTGGTATGTCCGGCGCTGTTCACAACCGAGTGGCAGCCTGTGTTGCGGCCGGCGGTGGCATTTTCGAAAATCAGCTTTAAGCACCAATAAATTCAAATTAAAGGTAATTTCACGAAGTTAACTTTACATTCATACTTTAATGTATCATGTATTATGCTGGTTTATTATTTTGTTTCGTTTATTGTCAGAAATCGTTACCTTGTCTTCTGAGTTTAAAACGGTCATAACTCCGTAACCGTCCAAAATCGGACACATGTTTATATGAACTTTTCTGATCACAAAGACCTAGGAAATCACCTCCTGCAGTTATGCCCTAAAGTCGTGAAACACACTGTATATAGCTGTTCACATCAATAAAAATGCCCACTCAGTAAAAAATGTATCAAGCCCTACGACTCTACCTTAATTACGGTGTCCAGTCTACGGGCGAACTTATTTTCCAAAAAGAATGATTGTTGCGAAATCCAAAGAAGTGAAAACCGGATGATCTAATTCCCAGGAGTGGACAAATCTCGCAGAATATTCTAAAGAAGGCTATCTACGTCATATCTCTCTATGGCTCTACAGCTCTTTGTTGGACTTCGGCCGCTTTTTAAGTTTCTTGATCCTTTACACAGACGGTAGGACTCCTTGGACGGGGAATCAGCCCGTCGCAAGGCCGCTACCTGCCCACAGAACAGCACAAACACAGAATAAATGCACATAGACATCCATGCCTCAAGTGGGATTCGAAGCCACGATCCCAGTGTTCGAGCGGGCGAAGACAGTTCATGCCTTGAACCGAGCGGCCATTGTGATCGGTTTCTAAAGAAGGCTATGAATCAAAAAACTGTTTTCCCAATGATGGTAATGATGATGATGATTAGTTGTGACGGTTGGAATTAAACATACGCTGGCCCGCTAACCATTAATGGTCATGTCACTCCCTATGTTTCAGACAAAAGACGATCGTAACATAACATTCCTAGGGCTACTCTCTTCCTTCATTTGTTTTGTATTCATGTAAATAGTTACATGAAGGGCACAGTCTTTCGGAGCGCAAGCATGGTGACTGCTTCAATTATTTCCTTGCTTGGCTTCCTCTTCGACCGTGAAGGTGGCGATACCTTCCTCCGAAATACAAGGCCTTACAACCCAGACGACCTCAGGCTACAAGAGTTTCCTATTGTGTTTTCGATGGTTGGCTTATAATTCGATGTTCTATTTAAAATTTTTTCTAATGTCACGATATAGCACCCCCCCCCCCTCCAGGTAGGAAGAAATCCTAACGGTGACCATGTTTGCGGACTTAATGTTCTAGGTCCTCCGGTTCCGGAGACCTGACCTAGATCCCTTATTTTCACATCTCATAAGTCACCAAACTGATTTTATCGTGCTTGTAGGAAGAATAGTTTAAGGCAAGGGTCTCCAAATTACGGTCCGCGAAAGAATTGTGCAGAAATGCGCCAATTGAACTAATTTTCCAATGAGTACTGCTAAATGTGATTCCGAGCTTATTGACCTGACATATTATACTGCAGTTCGATGGCTTAGCTGAGGAAAGGTTCTTTCGCGCTTCTTTCAGCTCAGGAATGAAATTGATATATTTCTTACCGAGAAAAACCATCACGAACCACTTTTATCAGATACCAAGTGGCTTTGGAAATTGGCAGTTTTGCTGATCTGGTGAACCATATGA